AGGGTAAATTAATGCAAATATTATGCAAATATTTGTAAGAAATCATATAGAACTTAAGTATCTCAGTAAATAGTAAGTATTTTCTTTATGATTAGTGCTAAAATCTTTATTAATATGTTATTTTTTATATCTAATATTGTATTTAATATTTTTATAATTATAATGTTTATAATTTATTATTATTATTATGATGCGTTAATTTAGAAGAATTAGTTGGAGATGAGCAAAAATACAGAGATAAAAGCTCCCCAATAAAAGGAATAAGTTAGGGTTCTTTAAACTCCATACATGTGTACATAGCAAACAAGGTCAAAGTGGGCATCAACAAAAGAACATCTTTGATTTTCAACGAATAAAGTTGAACACGAAACATTTATCCTTCGTTATTATTGATGAAATTCATGAGTTAGTGTCATACGATAAGTTAAATTGTTATTATGAACTATGATTATGTCAAAAGTATGTTTTTTATCGAAAAGAATAAGGCTAGGTAGGATTACATTTTTTCTGTTGGTGATATTTGAGGAACTAGATGATGCGAAAAAGGAAACATTGAGGGCGAACATAATCCTTCTAAATAGAGAGAAAATAATGGTTATAATGGCAAGTATCAATCATAAATAACTAGAAAAATATTAATTAAAATAGTTAAAGCTAAAGAAGTTGTGATAGAATTACTTATGCAAAGATGAGATAACTCTCAACATTTAAGGAGAAAAGTTGCATACGTTTTATCACTACACTTCCAAATAGAAACCTAATTCAATATGTTCGGTTCTCTTATGGAGCATAGTGTATTGTATGGTTGTTTTATTGTCACAGTGCAACACTGTTGCTTTCGAATGATTGATCCCAAAGCTGTTCAAAAGATATCTGATTAAAGTTAGCTCACAACATACACTGACCATCACTCTATGTCTACCTTTAACTTAGGATCTAGAGACAATATGTTGGGTTTTAGATTCCAGGTTATTAGTAAATTTCTAAGCATAACATAATAGCCTGTGATAGATTTTTTTGTGTCAAGGCAATCTACTTAATTGTTATCAGTATAAGCATTCAATTTTAACTCATATAAGCTTGAGTAAAACAAATCTTATCATAATGTTCCTTTGACATACCTCAAAACTTTTTAAGCAGCATTCAAGCGTTGATTATTGGGACTTTCCATGAATTGACTTAGAACGTGAACTGAGTACCCTAAGTCTGGTCTGGTTCGCATTAAGTGCATGAATCTCCCAATCAACCTCCTATATATAGTTATATATGGACTAATTCTCCCGCATCTTTGTATAATTTGGTATTACGGACTAATGGCAGTGTTTAAGTTCTACCACCCAATACACTTGTATCCTTTAACAAATCCAATACACACTTGTTTTGACATATATTTCAAGAAAAAATTGCTAAATGGAAAGGGAACGAGGAGCCCAAAATCTAGGGATATAGCTAACAATGTAATCCCACCTATTTACGAGAAATGTGACAATAGAAGTTCTACAATAGAATTTAAAAATGAGCTTAGGTGAACATTATGTGTTTCAACTGTTTTATTAAGGACTATGTGTTGGCTTTATTATGTGTAACAGGGGAGCTCAAAAATACTTAAAAGTCTCGTCGATCATAAATTTACAATCAAATTAATGAGGTATAAGGGATCACAAAGATGTATGATAGTAAGCTTTTATTATCATTTGAGTCAAAATGCTAGGTTAGGGAAACTACTATGGCAAGGAAAGTATGCTTCAAGAAATGGTTCTATAGTGTGAAAAAATGGAATCACAAGGATGGATACATTGATTGCATAACTAAGATTACTTTGATGAAAATTTTGGTCCCAAATTTTTCAAGTCACTCAACAATTTTATATGAGAGGTGATGGAGATCAATGAGAACGATTTTAAATAGTCAAAGTGTAGTAGTGATTGCAATAAATATCTCCTGATAGAAAAAATTTCAGAGTCTCCATGTGTGTTAATTGATGATCAACCTACTTATTTAGTGCTAAAGATATTAGTAATACTTATTTAGTGCTAAAGATATTAGTAACATTTGATTATAAATGTTCAAAATATAATATTATATTTTGGGTGAATATACAATATATATATATTATATGCTTAATTTTTTTATTACATTTATAAAGACCCGGAACTTAAATATAAATAAATTCATAAATTAAATGCGAAAGCAATTAATGGAGTTAGGATTTATGTTCCTTACACAATAATTCAAAATATCCAATAGGATTACGAGAATGTTCATTCTAAAAGACAAACGAAAAATTAAAAGAAATAAAAACGAAAAACGAATAATTAAGCATCCTAGGACAAACCTTCACTAGCACTTGAAGGGAATGCGGGTAGTGAACTACTCACAATTCTCTTACTGATCAAGATATGGATCTTTGTTCTCTTGATTTGAAATATTTAATAAAAAGGTAAACTACACTAACCCAGTAAAAAATATCACACTAATCACAGATACGAAAAACTGAATATTGATAAAAAATTAAAAAAATAACTATAGAATACTTATTTTTATTTAAATATATTTAAACTTGAAGACGTTTGTTTAATACTTAATATAATGAACTCTTTGAAGATAACCTATGAAGAACTCATATTCATACACTTTTTATTTTCACATATAAGAGAATTAGAGACGATAGCGTTCCTTTCTTACTTGCTTATTTGTAACAACCCGGAACTAGAAAGGAAAATAAATTATAAATTGATTGCAGAAGCAAAATGATAGCGTTAGGGTTTACATTCCTTTATACAATAATTCAGAATACCCAATAAGGTTACGGGAATGACCCTTTTAAAGGAACAACGAAAAATCAAAGAAATAAATATAAAGTAAACAACTAGACATCCTATTCACAACCCTCTTATGGATCGAGATCTTGATTTTGGTCCTCTTGATCTGAAATGGTTAATAGAATAATGAGTTACACTAGACCAGTAAAAATATCACGCTACTCACCGAGACACAAATGAAGGTTGGAAAATATAATGAAAATAACTAATAGAGCTCTTAATTTAAGTAAATTTATTTATCATAAATAAAATTATTTATTGTACAGTTACCGTAACGAAACTTTTAAAACTGACTTATAGAGACAATAACATGACAATATCATAATCTTATATCTAATTAAGTAAAAATAACAATTTTTACTTTTTATCTGCCTACTACAATCCGTGGGGTCCATAGGTATGTCCCCACTACGCGTGAACCCTTATTCAATATTTTCAACTAACTGGCCGTCCTCATACCCGGTCCGGTATGAGAGTAAAATGAGTCGTCCCCATACTCCGTTCGATATGAGCGCAAAAATATCAATCATTCATACCTTGTTCGGTATGAGGCAACGTTCACAATAGAGTTCCCTATGCATCCGGTCCGTCCACCATCTTCCAAGATATTTAATAATGCTACCATTTATTCAATCACTTAATCAAACAATTATCCGTTTACATTTAATTTTTAGTTTCATAATTTAGCTGTAAATAACGCAAAACAAGTAATACATGCATCAAGGAAGCACAACCGAATCATCATACCAACTCCAGTGTAATATTATGCATTTAAAATAGTAAAATCAATCATAACAGGGAATGATAACCGGTTCCGGCTCCATTAGTAACATGTGATTAATTTTTGAGATATTCTAAATTGTACAAAATATTATATTATTTATAATTAAACTTTAATTCCATAACAGGGAATAGGGTGAGAGATTCTTACCCGAATAAGTGTCTGAATGCTAAACTTTCAGCTGCGCCTACTGACAGTTCTCAGGTTCCCTAAATTTTCATTTGAAGATTAAAACACGCTCAAAGTACTTAGAAATACCCCCAAAAAATTCAAAATCGGTATTAAAATCCTTTTTCGGCCAATTTTGAAATTCTGACATGGTGGCACTATTTTGCTCTGATGATGGCAGGCGGCGATTTGCCTTGGACTGGTCGTTTCCAGCCAGTTTCAATCAATTTCAACCAGTTTTGTACTTATCCCTATAAGAAAACACGTTAAGGGGTTTCGGTTGGGCAAAAAAAATTAAATAACAGAAGCTTACCGACAATGGAATTTTTCAGTATGGCGGCTTTGCCTGCTCACCTTCGCGGTTGGACATTTTTCTTCGGTCAACCTGTGGGAAACATAATGGTGAATACCATGGTGAAAAAATTGCACGAAACGAGAATCAGGAATGCCCTCATCGGAGGCGGTTTTTAATTTTTGATGTAGTGCCGCTGTTGGGCTTTACCCGTAATTTCTAATTCATCCGTTGGTCTTTTTGCTCCGATTCGACTATGGGGTATTCAAAATCGAATTTCGAGCGAATAAGGAAATTTTTATCTCTTTTGGCAGTCAGAGGTGGCTCCGACATGATGGCGGGCGACGATCAACTCTCTCTCTCGGCGACTAGTTCTTCTTCTCCGGAAGGGACTGGCGGCTA